ATGTTAAAAAAAAAAAAATAAATAAAGCATGTTAAAAAACAAAATCCAAAAACCAGCCTTGTACTCTACCTAGCCCTGGGCCAGCTTGGGCCAGGTACTTCAGGTTCATCTAGCTGTCTCCTTAAGTCTCTTCAACATCCTGTCAGGTAGGTGAAAGTGCCCTGTGTTAGTGATAGAAAGTGAAGCTCAGGTGAATGAGGCAGCCTGCTTGAGCTGGAATAAGAGAAGCAGCCGTTCCCTGGGTACTGGAGTCTGGGGGGGGTGGGGGTGGCAGGGGTCAATGAGCTAATGCTCTTACAATGGGTGTTTCTTTGGCAGTGTTTCTCCCACTTTGCTATATATAGCTTGTAGTCAACTGTTGAGGCACTGATAGCCAGGATCCTCTTCCTGGAGTCAACAAACTCAGAGAGCTGAAAGGACCTTGGCCGGAAGGGACTTTGAGGTCTTAAACGTGGCATTGCTCCAATCACAGGAGACCCAACTGGAATATTCTGGAGTCATAAAAAGTCAGGTTTCCAAAGGCTGCAGAGACAGTGCAGCATGGTGGTTGAGGGGGCACGGCCTTTGGACTTAGACAGCTGGGTGTGAACTCCAGCTCTGCTACTTGCCGGCTCTGTGTCCCCATCTGCAGATAGGGATGATAATAATACTCACCTCATAGGCCTGCTATGAGGGTTAATGCTCGTGAGGCACTTAGAATAGTTTCTGGTGCAGAGTAAAGGCTACGTGGGTGTTCATGAAATGTAAACATTGAACGCCATTGGAAAATGCTTTTAAGTAATTTTAGGTGAGGACCGTGGGATGCAAAAATTATGTACATGATGCTTCTAACTATATATGTAATATATATTATATATATACACACACACCATGCATACATACATGCATTTATAGAACTGTTAATAATGATTGTCTCTATGTTATGGAAATTTGGATGGTTTTATTTTCTTATTTATGACATTCTGTATTTTGTGCAATGAGCATGAATTACTTTATAATTTTAAAAAATCCTATTGAAGAATATAAAACAAAGACTGTTCTTTCATACCAGGATCCAGCCCTCCCAGACCTCACTCCCCTTACAAGATGGGTTCTAAATGATGAGGACTGTGTGCCTTTGAAAGGTTGGGGGTTCTTGATTGGAAACATCTGAGGCTTCCTATCTAGATCTGAGCGTGAGGATCTGGTTTGGAGGGTTTGGGAATTGCCTGGTTGGTGGCCTTCTGGCTAGCATGTCCAGTGAGAAACACTAGGCAGGGTCCACCTATTCCTGGGTCTCTCTTCTGAATGGCCCTTCTCCTGCAGAGATGATGCAGGTATCCATGGAGACAGTGGATACTCTGGGTTGAGCTTACTTTGGTATTCGCTTTCAGAAACGTGAGCGCTTAATGTCATCTTCACCGTCATTGCCCAACTTCCTTGCTTGGAGTTTGACCATCCTGAAACACACATCTTTGAAAGTGGCAGTGAACTTGCGCTTGAAAATTTGTCGTAAGTTTGGTGCCAGTGGAAAGTCTCGCGCTGAGCGAGACTATTCTGTGTGGTCTTGACTGCTCCTTGGGAATGCTGATTTTACCACAGCACCAGAAATGAACAGAAAAAAATCTGTGTTGTGACAGAAGGTGCAGTTTTGGGAGGTGGACGCCTGGCTTGGGATGGTGTTCTCAAAAAGAAGGTGGCTGTTTGAAGCCAGCATTTCACAAATTACCATATTATTTTCAGGTTTCAGATTTAGTTCAAGAAACATGTATTGAGTACCTAAAATGTGCTAGGTTCTCTCCTAAGCAGTGCCACTGCAGAGAGCTGTGAGAACAACTTCAGCCCTAAGGGAGAGAAAAAAATCTGGCCTTTTGGCAAGGGTAGACTGGCCCCAAATCCTTTACACTGCAATTGTATTGACATGCAGTTAAGTCAGGCCCAGGCCTGTGTCTGGACTGAAACCTGGTTGTTTGTGCTGGCTCATACTCTACAGCCCTACATTTTTCTTCCACATAAAATGTTCACACTTTCAGTTCTGAGGGTGGTAGTCTGAGGTATAGGTCCATCTTTTTTTTGTTTGTTTGTTTGTTTGTTTTTTTTGTTTTTGTTTTTGTTTTTTTGAGGTATAGGTCCATCTTGACAAAGCTGGGGAATATGTTAATTTGGGTTAAACTCAAAATTAATGTGAGGCCCTAGAAATGATGATATTTGCTAGGATCTGACTTCGTTTTTCAGTTTTTCTTTTGAAATATTTAAGGGATGCTTGGGTGACTCAGTTGGTTAAGCGTCCAGCTCCTGGTTTCAGCTTGGGTCAGGATCTCAGGGTTCTGAGATTGAACCCTGTGTTGGGCTCCACGTTCAGCATGGAGTCTGCTTGGGATTCTCTACCTTTCTCTCACTCTCCTTCTCCCCGCTCTCCTTGAGTACTCTCTCTCTCTCTCAAATGAATAAATAAAATCTCGAAGGTATTTGAGAAACATTTATCTGCAGGCAAACCATATGTGATTTTTAATCCTCTAAATAGATGACACCACTGTCCATGTGCAGAGCACTTCAGAGTCACCAGGTGGCCACTTGTACTCTATGGCAGGTTCTTTACATCCTCACCAGGCCTATGACCCAGCAGCAGTGTCCGGGTGGTTTAACAGGTAAGAAGCCAAGGCTCAGAGAAGGTAGGTGGCTTGGCTGAGGGTCCCTGTCTAATGAGTGGCAGACCCTGAACTGGATGCCAGCTCTTTTTGACTCCCAAACACCCAGGGTTCCTCTGTCTTCCCAGGTACACAGGTCAAGCTCTCTCCCAGGGGCAAGTGAAACTTCACTGGGGTGTGTACTCCACACAAGATGGGTAAGGAAGTTCCTTAGAAGAAAACATCACCATCTGAGGTGCCTTTGTTTCTGTGGTCTCTGAACAAACTTCCCCAACCCTAAAGGAGAGAATTTCCAGGCCTGGAGAAGCTGCCTCAATGTGTATTTAGTTTGCTTTTAATAGTTCAGAGGAACAATAAAATGGATGAAATTACCACTGTGGCTCATGAGAGAGTGAATTAGAATTCCTTGCTGGTGAAGCCCATAATTCTTTTCAGTTCCCCATGTTTCCTGCCCCCGACCCTGACCATGTGTCCTGCCTTGACCACTCCCACACTTGGCCTAGACCCCAGGACCTCTAAGTGTCCAACAAGTCAGCTAGTCTGCTTCTCTTTCTCTTGCCCTCTGGCTGCCTTCAAAGCTGCTACTTCTCAGAGGCTCAGGTTCTTGTGTTCACCATACCCACTGGTTTGGGTTAGGATGTTCTCCAATGCCTTGCCTTCCCTTCTTTTCTTGCACGATAGCACTTGAATTATCAGTGGGAAAAAAGTAGATGTCAAAGGTCAAACTTAACTGTGACCTACTTAATCACATTCTGATAGATCTGTAAATATAGCTGATTCCCCATCAGAGGAGACCAAATCATTTCCAAGCAGGCATGCATATGTCCATGCATGTACCTATCTGTATATGCACTCCTTCATCCATGCACTCAGCCATCCTTCCATCCATCATCCACCCACTCATGAACTTCATGAGCCCCTGCTCATGCCAGGCCCCGTGTTAAGAGGTAGAGCGTTAACAGTGATGAAGATAGCCCTAATTCTCATGTCTAGGAGGAAAGACCCAGCCCCCCACAACACTATGGAATGAGATCTGCTATGATCACAGAAGTATAGATTACATATTCTGTCATTACCTTTGGAAGAGGGATATACAAGCATCTCTGAGTGTATATGTTTCCCTGCTTCTATATGAAATAAGTTAAACCCGCTGGAAATTTTATTAGATAAAAAGAGCAATTTCCTTAGCTCAGGATTTCTTACTGAATAGTGACTTGTTAGTTCCTAGAGGAAGCTCATCTTGTGCCTTCAAAAAGGGCCCTTTTCTATTTTGATCGTTATGTAAATCAGCGCTGGTGGACAGTGGAGAAAGGTCATGGAATTGGTTTATTCACGGGACTGCAGTCAGGGAATTTGAGTTCTCATCCCATCTCTGCCACTAACTTCTGTAGGATCTTGGCCATCTCTTTACCTTACCATGCCTCTATCTTTGTTTTTAATGTGGAGATTATACTTGTTTTTGTAGTTCACAAAAGTATTATGTGGATGTGAAATGCTTGGGAATAGTTTTATAAATGCCAGGCAGTAGAGGATGTGCAGTTGGGAGAGTCTGTTGGAAGATGGGCCAAGCTCAGAGATGTGTTCAGGGCCATTAGAAACAGCAGACTTGTTGCCATAGTTAGGATGAAATATGCCAGGTTTGCCTGGAACATCTGTGGTTCATGCCTGAAATCCTGGTGTGAGTATTAAGAGTACCCTTTTTATTTTTAAGACTGTCTTGGTTTGGAAGCTAAGTCTTATGGCCTCTTTATCTATAGAGGATGTAAATCAGGCAGAACACGAATGTCTGCCCAAGTGGCAAAGTTCTGCTGTTATCTTTTAGGTTCATCTAATGGTGGTGGTCACAGTCTGACTAGGACCAGCCATGAAGATCAGTGCTTGATTCAAGTCGGAGGGGAGCCAGCTGCTGTCTAGGGCAATAGCCCTTTTCTCACCAGGAGGAGAACTCTTTAGTTGGTCAGGAATGTCTGCAAATGGGCCAGCTAAGCGAGGCAGTTCCCAGAAAGCCCAGCCCATTTGAGGAAGAGCAGATTTCCCCTTGGGGCCACGTGCCCCTTCTCCCCACTCTGACCTTGACTATGTGCTACAGGGCACGTGCTGAAGCATGCGGGTCTGTAATGACTGGGGGTGCAGTAGGTGAGGGAACTGCTCCATGGTGGATAGCAAACTGATCGATGGAAGTGGTAGTGGGGGGGCTAGGTCAGAGGTGGAAGTGGCCCTCTCATCTCCAGGCTGGCCATGCAAGTAGGAGAGGAAATTCCTGGGTTCTCCCTGGGATCCCAAATCCCTGATAGCTGTCAAATGTGAGGACAGTTTTTGTCCCTTGAGGGACTGGCTGCTTCCTGGGGTGGCCTGGGACACATCCTTAAATCTTTTTTTTTTTTTTTTTAAAGCACTTGTTAGCATTTAATGAACGCCCTCAAATGTGGCTTCAAGCTACTAGAACGCAGGCGCCCCCGACACCCTTAATCTTCTCCTCTGCTCTTGTACTGAAGAATTTGGCCTTCACGATGACAGGCTGTTTTGGGAGTTTTCCCTTTCCCAAAACTTTGTAGTAGCCCGATCGCACCACATCAGTGATAGGAGCAGCTCCAGTCTTGTTTTTGGCAGCATTTACCCGTGTCTGCTCACTGACCAAGGTCCACAGTTTATCAAGGTTGACAGTTGGGCAGAAGCTCTGGTTCCTCTTTAAGTGGTAATGTCTCATACCAACTTTTCCAAAGTATCCTGGGTGATATTTGTCGAAGTTGATCCTGTGGTGCTGCATGCCACCAGCATTACCCCGGCCTCCTGGGTGCTTCCGGCGCTTGCCGATGCGGCCGTGGCCGTGGCTCACGTGGCCCCGAAGTTTCCGGGTCTTCCTCAGTCTGGATGGCGTGTCGGCAGCTCAGACGGAAAAAGACATCCTTAAATCTTAACTGGAGGAAGGAGTGTGAGGGATTTTGGCCCCTTATCTGTGGATAGTGGTAGAGTTAGGATCCTACTTGAAAACAAGGACTGGCATTTTGGAAGCTGAGATTCGATCAGTACAAATTGGCATTTTCTAGACATAGAAAAAGCATGGCCCTTGAATCATGATGTGTGAGTTGTAATTTTGGCTCTGTCCCTGACCCACTGTGTGGCCTCAGACAAGTTGTACTTCCTCTCCAAGCCTGTTTTTCCATCAGTAAATTGGGGTTAGTTCTTATCCCCATGATCTCATACTGCCTCATCTATCCCTCACTCGGGAAACAAAGGAGCTTTTGTAAAGTCATAAGGTTATTTTATTTTCTTACCCAGTATGCACAGAGCACCTGTCATGGGCAGTGTGCGCTGGGTACCAGGAGAATGACAGTGATCGAGGTAGTCATGGTCTTGGCACCTCATGGAAGGCCTGTTTCATGGGAAGAGACACATGGTGAACCAATAAATAAATGGGCAAATGAAGTAGTTGAATACCCTGTTAACTTGTATGAAGAAAACATACAGGGTTCGGAGAGAAGAATACATCTGGGTGGGGGCGGCAGGTATTTCTTAGATAAGGTGACCCAAGAGGACACATCGCTGAGGGTGACCTCTAGGCTGAGACCCGAGCCTGAGGAAACTGCTGTGCCGAGCTGCAGAAATGGGTTCCAGGCAGAGGACACAAGGCAAGCCCTCTCACCACTCCTGCACTGGTTTAGAGATTACCTTTCCTTCCAAGGGCTGGGGGAGGGAGTCTGAGCCTGTTGGGTTAAGGATTAACTCCACCTCCAGGATAGATGATTAGATGGAAAAAGCAAGACGCAGAACAAGGTGTCTAACTATCCTCTGTTTAAAAGGATGTGTATTTATTCATGCACGCTTGTACATTTGCAGAAATCTCTAGAAGGGTACACTAAAAATTGGTGGTTGTGCCTGAGAAGGGAGTCTGGGGGATTGGGGTAAAAGAGAGACTCACTTGTAACTGCATGTCTACTTGTATTGTTTAATTTTTGTTTTAACCACATGCATATATTACTTTTCAATGCAAAAACCCAGTTGTTCAAAAATATGTATGCTTACTTAAAGGAAATGTTTGTAGGCCATTTGGCAACAAAAGTAAGACTGGCATATGAGGAGGGGTATGTGGAATCTTTGGTGCCAGAAAAACAAACCAGGTGTGGGACTGAGGATGCGCCTGGGCCAGCTCCAGCCTGGAGAGCCCAGGAGAGGGGGGTGACCGACCCCAGGCATCCATTCCCACAGGCTCAGAACTTCTTCCTTGGCCTCTTTCTCACTGCATGTGACAGGGGTGCCTGTTTACGTTTCTGACATTCCTACCTAAAGTGACTGTTTCTTTGAATCTGATAATTGCAGCCCCAACCCTCACATGTGTGCTGCCTCTTACCGTAATCATTTGTGTGCACTTGCAATTCTCTTCCAGGATTATGTCCCCCCAGAGCTGCTAGCATACATAGAGCTTCATGCAGTGTCAGTACTTGAGTAAGCGTGGAAGATATACATATATAAAACAAAATTCACTTGCCCGGGTAGATTATTTATTGTTTCTCTCCCACGCTCTTTCCAAGTAGGAAGGCCACTGATAACAATAACTTTCATCATGTATTAGGATGAAATCTTCCAATAACTTCATAGGAAGCCTCTTGAATGATTGTAGAATGAGGTGTCTCAGTTAATTTAATTTTCTGTTTTACTGTCTGCTTTACTCCCGTTTTGTTATTGAAGTTCTTAAAGCATGTTTATGTTTAATTTCTTGCCTATAGGGGTAATAATTCTCCCCCTACCTGGAGTCCTTTCTCCCTGGAGCAGGTCTGACAACCACTGAATACAGGGAGAAGTTTAAAAACAGCCAAAGTGGCTCAAGGTTTATTTGTAATAATACTCTTACTCATAAAGAAATTATTTTCTCAGAGCTTATTCTCATTTTATATATAGCTTTAAGAATTAGAGTTTTCTTTTTTTTTTTAACGATTATTTATTTATTTGACAGAGAGAGAGAGCGAGAGCAGGAACACAAGCAGGGGGAGTGGGAGAGGGAGAAGCAGGCTTCCTGCCGAGCAGGGAGCCCGATGCGGGACTCGATCCCAGGACCCTGGGATCATGACCTGAGCGGAAGGCAGACGCTTAACTACTGAGCCACCCAGGTGCCCAAGAATGAGAGTTTTCTAAATTAGAAGTCTACTAAAACATATGTTAAAGAGGAATAGTTAGAGACACGTGCCTTGACATCAGGAGGAAATGACAACTTAATAGCACAGAAAAGAAACATAAAAAGCAGAGCCCTGACTTCAGAAGACATAGTGTCAAGGAGACATATTCTTGTAGAGGCAAGAATGTTTGTGTGCCCCAAAACGTTACAGTAGTGGATATGCAATCAGTGATTCTGAATCGTCAAGGAAAATTATGCTCTGAATCTTTCATTTAAAGAAGACAGAAGTCAATAAATTTTAGAAAGATTTTTGTCAGAAATAATTAACATTTAAAAATCCTGTGATGCAAAGAACGTTTAATAGGATAAGGAATACTTGTCTAAACTAACATCCAACTTTGTAGAAAATAGGGAAACAGTAGAGACTTCCCATTAAAACCAGCAATATGATAAGAATGTTCCCTCCCACCTGACATTTAGTATGACTCTATGCAATAAGGCATGAAACCAGAAAACAGAAGGTATGGCTATTGAAGAAACAGGTGATCATTATTTTAAAATTGTATAATTACCTTCCAAGAAAACTTAAGAGCACTAATAGAAGTATTATTAGCATTAATAAGAGTTCAGTAAGATGGCCAGGCTGCATAGACACTTTATAGTAGTTTTCCCAAGTATTAACAATAGCTAGCTGGAAATGTTTTTAGTGCAAAAGATCCTATTTTAATTTTATAAGCATATAAAATATCTAGGAATGAGTAAGCATTATGTTGACCCTCAGAACATTACTCAGAGTAATAATTAAAGATGAGTTGAATCAGTGGAGAAGTGTACCATGTTCATGAGTTGGAGGACTTGATCCTTTGGGATATGTGAGACACTGCTCCATAAAGACTACATGGAACAGCATACAGTTAAATTACCCTGATCCAAGTGCTAGCTTTACTACTTACCAAATGTGAAGTCCTGGTCAAATTGCTAAATATTTCTGGGCCTAGGTTTTCTCATCTCTAAGATGGTGACAATAATAATAATTGCCTCATAAGATTGTTGTGGGTTGTTATGCGGCAAGAGTGTAGAGTAGTGCCTGCTACCTAGGAATGGGTCAATAAATAGGAGCTCTTATTTTTATACTAATTCCCCTAAATGAATGTTGCAATTTATGGGAATATCAAACAAAAATCTAAAAGATGTTAGACCTAAGTGGATATTGGAATTTAATTTATTGTTTAGTACTTCACAACAATTGGTAAGGAAGGGTTATTCCATAAATAAGCTGGGGCAATTCACCCATTACCAAAAAATTTAGCCTCTCACTCTGTATCAGTGTTTTTCAGAGTGTGGCCACAGCCATCAGATTCCTCGGAGCACTCTTAAAAGGCAGATTTTTTTTTTTTAGAGCGTGGGGGAGGGGCAGAGGGAAAGGGTGAGAGAGAACCTCAAGCAGCTGAACCCAAAGGTCAGACACTTAACCGATTGCGCCACCCAGGCATCCCTTGAAATGCAAATTTTTAAGGTTTACACTGAGATTCACATTAAAATGTGGGAACCGCTGTCCTTTACCACACATCAGAATACATTCCAGATGAATTACTGGGATAAATGTCAACATCGCCATCTAAAACCAGAAGATAGGGATAAGGAAATATTTACATTATCTTCCGTATTTTCAATATAAGATCTTTTACAGCTCAGTAAGAAAAATAGGAGTGTGCAAGAGTAAAAAGGGCAAAGGATATGAATAACCAAACAACAAAAGAAAAAGGGAAAAGGCCAATAAGCATATGGAAAACTGCCAAATTTCACTAACACTCAAAAAATGCACATTAAAACAATAACTTTTCATATTTCAGGAGAGAAAGTATTTTAAAAATGATAAGTGCCAGTGATGCTAAGGATACAGGTGAAATGGGCATTTTGATATTCAGGTGAGGGGATGCTAAAGCAGCTTTCTGAGATGCTTTGTATGAAAAGTCTGAAAAATATCTATACCTAGGGGCCAAGCTATTCATTTTCCATGAATTTATCTTGGGGGAGAATCAGAGATTCATATACAGACTTATGTATGCAGGTATCTATCAAAGCATTATTTTAATAGAAAAAATTGGAAACAGCTGAAATGTCCAACAATATGGTAACAGTTAACTCAATCATGGCTCATCCATGAGACGAATACTCTGTGGTCATTAGAAATCATGTTTTTGAAGAATCCTGTCATTAAATTACCTGAGAAAATGCTTACAATGTATTAAGTGAAAACATCAGGATACAAGCTATATAGAGAATGATTCCTTTTTTTTTATTAAAAATAATCACAGACCTAGATAAAAGATGGAAAGAAGGAAAGAAAATATACCAACATTTTAATGGTGCTTACATCTGGGTGGTTGGATTTGAGCAATTTTTATGTTCTTTATACTTTTCAGATTTTCCAGTTTTGTGCAAAACACACATGTTTGTGATGAGAAAAATGTTAGTTGAAACATAATCAAACAGATGAGACTGGCTGAGAGATTTTGGAAAGTGAGTTATATTTTAAAAAGGTAGTAATGAGAAGACGGTGGTCCTGGATTTAATAGAGTGAATCAAGGAAGCAGAATGGATACATCAGAATCTGATTGTTTTGGAGGGGCAGTGCAGCATGAGGGTGGACAGTCGGGCTGGGGGCAGAGTGTGTGGGGCCCCCCATCCTGCAGACTACCCTGACCAGGCACGAACAAAGCCCGCACCCCTGAGGACTCATTGAAGCATAGCAGGTGCATCGAAACATGCCACT